TTACAGCTGAGTTCACGGTCAGCTTCTGTCTGTTTACAGTGTGATTGCAGTGTATTACGGGAGGAAAGATATTGACTGAGATATGTATGGGTCTGTTCTTTAACTTCTTTATATTAAAAAAAGAGTTTAAGAAAGTAAACCTGCAGACTAGTCTCTTGATTTCAACACTCTTCCACGGTCTACCATTTTGAAACGGGACAAAAACCAAAGGTTAGTTTTGTCGCTTTAAGCGGTTAAAAAAAAAACCCACTCAAGACATTGTTATAACAGAGAATAAATAACATGAATTAAGGATGTGAGTATGTTTGCAATAATGCCAGTAATGCATAGATGTGTTTGTTGAATATACAAAGTGTTTACTTGATTTATAATTTAACACCTCTAGAGACTACAGGGCGTATACCTTGTGTTTTTACATTCTCTTAAACTACTTATTCCACTGTATGTAAGGATAAATAAAACCACATGTATATGTTCCTCCTTTGGGTCATATTGGACACACACACACAAACATTGGAATAAGCTCTTGTTCTTTGATCAAATGTGGACAGATTCCAGGGAAAGAATTGGCAGGACATTAATTTCACTGACCCAACTGTATTCTTGGACAGATGGCGTTTCTGTCACATCATTTGGATGAAGCTATGACAAAATGAAACCATGACGGCCCTGCCAACAGACCCCAGAGGCTTTGTGCCGCTTCTAACACACAACCAGACCCAAGTGATTTCAAAGAACTCGCCAACCAGCACTTGCCATCCCTAAAACCACAAGCTACACAAGCTAAAATAAAAAGAAATACAACATGTATAATACAAAAAAATATGCTTTATTACTAAGTCCATCCATGACTTAAAGATACAGTCAGTAGCTTTTTCCTGAAAAATAAAACTTAGACTTACACAAAAGTAATGTAGCTCAATCCTCACTTTTAGCCTCCATATGTTTTGTGATGCCTACGTCTGCAGAGACTCTATACTATGCTAAGTTAACGGCTTTTCCATCACAACAAATTCAATATTCTCGGGTAGTTTGCAGTGTAGGTACAAGCAGTAAATGTACACGCTAACCCTGAAGTGAGTTTTAGCTTGTGGGAGCGATGAGCCCAGGAGGAGGCATAATTTGAATGTTGTGTTTTACAAGCTGCAATGAACCTTGCTCCTGACTTTACCTTTAACATGACAATTTACATAAACATTAAGTATGAATATTCTTTGGGGGAAAAGTACATGCACATGAACCACAGTGATACAAAACCCCAATCTCAATATGCTGGTTATACCTCCCAACATGCAAATTCTGGATTTATACAAATATTCTTTGTAAATTATTGCAATCTTTTAGACGATGACCCGAGTGATGTTGTTGCCTCCCTTTATCCCCTGCCTCAAGTACAGCCCCCCTCCCCCGGAAACCCTCAGCAGGCATGATCATCCCCACTCACATCATCTTAGGTTTAATGCAGGATAGAAGGGATTGTATCACCTAGTCCTAAAATAGAACTGACCTGACAGCCCATGGGTTTCTAGCTTCATTTTTGTGTTAATGCATGATTCTATTTTTCTGATATATACTGAGAATTTATCAAAAATGGCTCCCACCAAATGGTGTGTGTCAACTTACCCTGATCCGAAGATACTTTGATTGGTACCAAAGATCTATTCATCTGGTTTTTTTTAGCGTAACTCTTAACAAAAAAGACTGGCTACCTAGTGAGTCTGAATTGCCACAAATAATAACTTCTTTGAACCACAACAACAGCCAAACAACACTGCCCTCATTAAGCATTAAGCTATTTGATTCTTTATTCCGTTAGCCCTGGTATCAAGACTAGCTTTGTTTTTTAAAGTAGTCTGTATTTCAGTCTCCAGGCGAGGCCAATAAATCATACTCTGCCAGAAGAACAAAACTGTTGTCTCTGATTCTCTGAACTCTCACCAAATCTCCACACTCCTGGACATGGATCAGGCCTCTCTCTCCTCTACTATACTCTCTCTCCCTGTCGTTGAATGACACCTCTGTCCGTTTACCACAGGCCTGACGGTATATGTACCTTACCCCAACCACAAGGACCATTCCCAAGCCAGCTGAGCAGCCCAGAAGCATGCCCAATTCCCAGGCAGTGTGTCTGGGTATAATGTCTGGATACTTCCCCTCCTTTCCTGGAGCAATAGAGGGATTCAAGGGGACTTTTGGTCTGGTATCGGCTTTGGGAATGTTTGGTTTCAACTTGCGGCCAAAATTTTGTTTGACATTTGGATCCTGGTTTGGATGGGGTTCAGGATTTGGGTGTACCACCGTTCTAGAGGTTGGTTGGTTAAGATTGGGATCAGAATAAGATGATGAAATATGGTTCTGGATTCGTAACTTCTTGCCTAGGGTGAGATGTTGAGAAGGCACAGGGGTGGAGGTTGACGCGAGGGAGCGTTGGGGGGCTGGAGAAGGTTCTGGTGAGGGGTGGTAGTCTGGGCAGATTCTAAAGAAGATGGGGTTGCAGATGAGTTGGAGGAAGGTGGGAAACCCAGAAAAGAAGCTGTTGATAGAGAAGTAGTCAGGGTTGAGGAAGAAGGAGAAATGGAGGAATGTAATGATCCAATGGCAGGAAGAGGATATGTCTGGGGAGATGGTGGAAGAAGAAGAAGATGAAAAGGTCAAACCTGTGTTTGAGGTTGAGAGAGAAGAGGCAGAGGTAGTTAAATCTGCTATAGGTGATGGATTATTGGAGGTATTTGAGGAAGGTATAGCAGACGTACTGAAAGAGGATGGCATAGAAGAAGGAGAGGAAGGTTGCACAGAGGTCAAATGGGGAGGAATGGAGATTGGAGAAGGAGATGGAGGGGCAATAAGGGAAGGAGCTGTTTTTGGTTTTTTGCATTGCAGTTGAAGAGGGAGAAGGTAAGATATATTCTTGGGTGGGAGAAGATTGTGGGGATCTCTGGGTTGAACCAGGAGTATTGGGACTAGGATGGGTAGACACTGAAACTGGAAAAGGATTGTTTGGGGAATTAGAGGCAAAGATTGAACTCATGGTTTTGATCTTTGTCTTAGACTGAGGATCTTTGACGTTTTCACTCTCACCGATTGTGAAGGTTGGGTCAATCCTTGACATAAAGGGCTGAGGAGTTACAGAGGATGGAGTTTGGGTCCACTCTTTGGTAGGTACTTTCAGTGCACCCGTTGGAGAATTGGGCTGGGACAATAGTTGTGGGGAGATACTTAAAGCTTTGTGTTTTGTCTGATTGGGACTGGTCTGTCTCAGAAATGTCAGCTTGACCCTTGGTTGGAGTTGGGTTTGTTTGGGGAACAGCATGAGGAAAACTGCTCAAAGGTTGAAGTTCAGGAGTGCTGTTTAGAGGTGACTTTTTCAGACTGAATGTGAGGTGGATTGGTTTGGCTTGGTAATTTCGGATACAGATGGGCTACTTTCAGATTGATGATTGGATGCATTACTCACAGGCTCGAAGGGGGATTGAGCATTCAGGTTTTTGGGAAAGAACTGGTGAGTTTTCCCTTGGGTAAAAGATTCTGTTTGTGGACCCGGAGAGTGGACTGAAAGGAAGGAAATTTTGATTGGAGAATAGTGTTAGTTAATGCCTTGTAGTAGGAAATGTTTTGACTGGTACCAGTTTGGGTTTGGAGAAGAGGTTTGGATGTAGAAGTTTGATCCTGACGAAAAGGGTTGGCTGAAGAAGTCTCAGAGTTAAACACAAAAATGTTTTGGTGCTGGGGCATGGATTGGCTACCCATTTCATACCTAGTTTGATCTATAATAGTCTCAGATATGTTGATCCTTGAGGGCTGAGAGGAAGTACTCTGGGTCTTGAATTTAACTGAGCTAGTTTTGTCTTTGATTGCTTTTGTTGGATTCTGGGATGTTGATCTTGGAGGATTTGAGACGTGAAAGTTATAATTGGTAAAAGGTTTAACTGTGGTGTTGGTCTGAAGATTAAATACTGTATCTTTTGTTTAGTAACAGTTGGCTCTGTTGGATCATTTAAGTATGTCCCTTGGTTTCAATATCACCATTCTTAAGTGGGTGGGGGAAGCATTTGGGAGAGGGTTGGTTGAATTTTGTTCTGTGTTGTTTGGGCAAAGATGTGGTCGTACCTTCCATCCCTCCACCCTCAGCTGAGGATAAAGTGGCTGTGAATGAAAGGTGGTTGAATGGGAAAAGAGAATTCTTGGGGTCATCAGTCTGAGTAATAAAGTTTCCTGTGTCAGTGCCTGTCTCTTTAGTCACACTTGAGAGTGATCCTGATGTTGAAAAGGGGTCAGGAGCAATTCCTTTGCTGGAATTTAGAAGAGATCCTAAGTACATGGGGGTTTTCCTTTCATTGACAGCCTGATTTGTCAACAAGTCAACTCTAAGTGTTGCTGAAGTTGCTGAATTGTTAATCTCAAAGACTGGACTAGTGACAACTATACGTTTGTCCTGTGAATTGCTGCTAGGGTAGTAAGGCCCTAGGGTAGTAACAGGGCTTCCTTCGTCAGTCTCTGCCTCCTCAGTCACACCTGAAAGGGATTCTGAAGCATATGTGCCAGTCTCGCTTTCTGTGCTTAGTTTTCCAAGTAATCCTAAATTCTTAGGTGTGCTCCTTTCATTAGGTTCTGTATTTGTGAGGTGATCAACACCAAGGTATGCCAAAGTAGCAGAACTTTTTATCTCCAGGTCCGGAAGAAGGGCTTCTCTAAGTCCTTCCTTAGATTTAAAACTTAGGGTTCCTCTTTTTTTGTCGTGGATAACCCTAAGGTAGTAACAGGCCTTTCTGTGTTAGTACCTGCCTTTTCAGTCACTCTTGAGAGGGATCCTGAAGATGCATAGTCAGTGTCACTGTCTTGTTTGCATTTTGAAGAGATGCAGAAGTCAAAGCGATGTTGTTTCAGTGATCTCCTGATTTGTGGGATGGTCAACTCGTAGTGACGCCAAAGTTACAGGAAATTTAATCTCCAAGACTGGCTGAGTTGCCTCTGTTATTGTTCCTCAGATTTGTTATTGGTTGTTAATGTGGGGGCCATAGGGTAGTAGCAGGGCTGGTTGTCTCATTTGTTTGGTTGTTTGATGTTCCATGGACTTGGAGAGCTATAAGGATGACAAAATGTGAGTAGAGCATGTTAAACATTATTATAAGGTGTAGATACTGAGGCAGAAATATCATTGTAGATTGCTTATTTTGTCCTGTCGTTGTACTTTTGACCCGTCATACAAAACACCATAGAAACTTCTTCCTGAAACTTTAGGAAACAGATTTTGTTTTGCGTTATGTTACTTACCTGGCAGAGTAGTAACTTCTTCTTCCTGCTGTGCAAAATTTAAATTCCCTCCGTCCATTCCTGTGATGCTACTTCCATTCCAAGGACTACGGCTCCCATCACGCACCACTTTAGACTCAATTCCCGCCCAGTATACAAAGTAAGACTGCACCACTGTGATACTGGAATGACAGAAAAGGGGGGTTGTGCATTGATGCAATTGAAATAAGAAATGTTTAAGCAATAAACCAAATATTCACATTAGAATATGATTCCCCTTTTTAAAGATTGGACTGTTGGTTATCATAACAGTCTTGATTTTGCAGGGTCGTACATACTAGAATTTTACATCTCCAATGGGTGCATCTGGAGCCTTCCAAACAAACGAGAGGTTTCTCTTCAGCTGTTTGTCAGAATGAGTAAGGGTGTCACCCTCAGAGAAGCAGCGAAGCACGTGTGTGCTAGGGGGCATGAGGGCCCAGGAACCACCATCCAGCACCTGGCCCAATCTTGTAACCTGACCCCAACCTTTGGCCGGACATCAGCTCTGAACCCGGCACCCTCCACACTGCGAGCCTGGAGCAGGAAACCCATGAAGTTTCGAGAGCTTCGGACAGTTACTGAAGACAGAGGTACATGAATAAGTTATAACAGTTCTTATTTTTACAAGCTAGAAGACAGTTTAAGATATATCTTAGTCAGTTATTTCGGCAGAGGAGTTTTTTCAGTGTGGACCTCTAACAATAGCGTCCCTGATCCAAATTCCTCCAGGAACCTTTTTGGTATGTTCTTCCGCACCTTTCTGTTTTTGTGTTTCTACTGCTGATTTTTATGTCCATTCTCAA